GGAGAGCTAATTACGGTAAATCACCTTAATGATTGATAAGTAAATAAAATCTTGAACCTTGTAAAATATATATACTACAGCCGAATCGATAGATACGTGTGAGTTAATTTACGGACATCTACCAAACAATGGATATTATTTAATTCATTCAAAGAGAAATTTATTTGATTTTGGGATATCTTCGATGAGGTTTACACATTACAATATTTCTATAATTATCTCGAGATAAACATAATCATACATCGTGGATGCTTTGCTTGGTAATAAGTTAAATGAATGGCCAACCCTTCATGAATGTGACTTACCACAACTAGCTGTATCATGGCCGTGAATTCAGCACACTAATAATTAAAACAGGAACACCAGAACACACAAATACCTCATCAATGATTTATCTTGGTTTTACGAGTTTTCTATTAAAAATTCTGGTTTATGATTCGATGTTGTACAGGTGTATTCTGTTTATCAGATGTAGACAGCGCAATTTTAATAACTTCGTTTGTCTGGTATACTTTACATGATAATTAAGCTGGTCGTGACCCTTGAACAATTGTAGATCAATACATGCTACATCAGCACGTGTTCTACAGAAAGTTACACATCAGGTTAGTTCCAAGTAATTAATGCCACGTTCTCAAGTAAGAGCCGAGTATACAACGTCGGAACCAACAAGCAAACTAACGAGCATCAAACACGTTCAGCTTCAAATCACACAACGAAATATAATGTTTCTCAACATGCTGATTAACATAACTGTGTAAAACAAAAATATTGGCTGACGAAGAACTGTTTGTTATTTTGTTTTGAATAATATTTCCCGTGCATATTGAAATAATCAAATCACATATGTTTCGAACGAAAATCGTTTCATCTTGAATATATAAAAATAAATTGTTGACGTGGTCACAGAAATTAAATAAGATTTAAGTGGTTAGAAATATTAAACATCCGTGTCTGATATCATAGAATCATGACCGTTATATGTTTTTCCATAAATCGACAATAATTCAGAAAGAGCACGCTATATTAGAAAGGTCTCGTGCGCGTTATCGCTTACCGCTGCAATACGGTAATAAACGTGCATCTGTCTACCTAGTTAGCAAGGCATGCACAATGTACCGTGGCAGCTATCCCCTCGTGCTTCTCCACTTTAGAATAAAATGCAAATACAATGGTTGTCTGAACTATATTAACCACTGACAAATAGACGGAAAGCGGCGAACACTGCTTAACAATTCAGTGTCTGGAGGAACCGACCAGTGGAGTAATGGACGGATCAATACCACTTGGATGTGATAGGATCAGTCTTCTGACGAAGGGATTGACTATGATGCAACGCTCTGTGAATTATCGATAAAACAAATTTGATATGCATTCTTATCTCAGTTGAGTTCCTATTTTTTGCATTGTCAGCACAATTTTTCAGTCATTTCTGAATTTCACTGTGGGCACTTTCATTTTGTCGGTGAGTTTGAAAACGTTTAAATGAAGATTTGTCCGTTTGTCTAAACGGTTTTTTTTAATTGAAATTTTAAATTTTTAAAGTTTAGATTAGAAATAATCTATCAACTTGGTGATAACGTTCTGGCGTGTCTTGACAAAAACATTTAAGTCAACTTTAAAATTTAAAAAAAAAGCATTAATGCATCAAATGTAACATCATAACAGTGAACAATGTCCGGTGTATGTAACAGAGAACAATGTCCAATGTATGTAACAGAGAACAATGTCCAGTGTATGTAACAGAGAACAATGTCCAATGTATGTAACAGAGAACAATGTCCAATGTATGTAACAGAGAACAATGTCCAGTGTATGTAACAGTGAACAATGTCCAGTGTATGTAACAGTGAACAATGTCCGGTGTATGTAACAGAGAACAATGTCCGGTGTATGTAACAGTGACCAATGCCCGGTGTATGTAACAATGACCAATACCCGGTGTATGTTACATCGAACAATGTCAAGTGTATGTAACAGAGAACAATGTCCGGTGTATGTAACAGTCCGCTGTATGTAACAGAGAACAATGTCCGGTGTATGTAACAGTGAACAATCTCCGGTGTATGTAACAGTGGACAATCTCCGGTGTATGTAACAGTCCGGTGTATGTAACAGAGAACAATGTCTGGTGTGTGTAACAGTGAACAATGTCCGGTGTATGTAACAGTCCGGTGTATGTAACAGTGAACAATGTCCGGTGTGTGTAACAGTGAACAATGCCCGGTGTGTGTAACAGAGAACAATGTCCGGTGTGTGTAACAGAGAACAATGTCCGGTGTATGTAACAGTGAACAATGTCCAATGTATGTAACAGTCCGGTGTATGTAACAGTGAACAATGTCCGGTGTGTGTAACAGTGAACAATGTCCGGTGTATGTAACAGTGAACAATGTCCGGTGTATGTAACAGTGAACAATCTCCGGTGTACGTAACAGTCCGGTGTATGTAACAATGACCAATGTCCGGTGTATGTAACAGAGAACAATGTCCGGTGTATGTAACAGTGAACAATGTCCGGTGCATGTAACAGTCCGGTGTATGTAACAGTGAACAATGTCCGGTGTGTGTAACAATTAACAATGCCCGGTGTATGTAACAGTGAACAATGTCCAGTGTGTGCAACAGTGAACAATGTCCGGTGTATGTAACAGAGAACAATGTCCGGTGTATGTAACAGTGAACAATATCCGGTGTATGTAACAGAGAACAATGTCCGGTGTATGTAACAGTGAACAATGTCCAGTGTATGTAACAGTCCGGTGTATGTAACAGTGAACAATGTCCGGTGTGTGCAACAGTAAACAATGTCCGGTGTATGTAACAGAGAACAATGTCCGGTGTATGTAACAGTGAACAATATCCGGTGTATGTAACAGAGAAAATGTCCGGTGTATGTAACAGTGAACAATGTCCAGTGTATGTAACAGTCCGGTGTATGTAACAGTGAACAATGTCCGGTGTATGTAAGAGTGAACAATGTCCAGTGTATGTAACAGAGAACAATGTCCGGTGTATGTAACAGAGAACAATGTCCGGTGTATGTAACAGTGCACAATATCCGGTGTATGTAACAGTGCATAATATCCGGTGTATGTAACAGAGAACAATGTCCGGTGTATGTAACAGAGAACAATGTCCGTTTATGTAACAGTGAACAATGTCCGGTGTATGTAACAGTGAATGATGTCCAGTGTATGTAAGTTTAATGGGAATTGTTCGCTGTAAGGGTAGATAATCGATTCCTTTTGGCATGGAAATTTTACATTCGGCTTGATTCTAATGTATAACTGCATTTGGCTGTTAAAATGATTTACCAGTAAATCTTAATCTGGACGTGAGCAGAAAACCGTACGGAGGTATAACGTAAGCTTCGACTCGCAGTGTATTTTAGATTCTAGAAATGGAACCGCACACCTAGCCAAAAACTATTAAGTAATAAGAGTCCGATTGGGCCTGTACCGCTATATTCAAAAGAAATCGTTCAGAAAGACCTTGACCTTGATAAGAAACAAATGGTCCATAACCACTCGTTTGAACAAAATTGAGGGTCATTCTTCGTACCAACACGTTACTAGTCTACATTCAGATTGAGTCATTTGAAAATATCAATACATTTCCTCATCAGAGCTTGGAAGTGAGTCAAGGTCATTTATTTGAACAAACTTTGTAACATGGCAAACGCATCCCATCAGGCCAACCTGATACCATTATCCTATGGTTTTTGTTCTGCAGAAGAAGTCGTTTGAAGGTTTATGTTACTCATTCCCCTCGTCATGTTTGTCAAAGTTGCCTTTTTTCTTTCATTCTGTCATTCATACCACCTCACTATTATCTTCCTTCTAACCATATTTTTTTCCTTTTTTCCCCTCGCCATTTTCCTCTGTCCATATCCAATGTATTCATACTTTCCCCACACTCTCTCTCTCTTTCTTTCTCTAATTTTCTCATTTCGTCTCTCTTTCTTTTTTCCTTACTCCCTCTTCAACTTCCCATTCACGCATTCTGTCTTACCGTCCTTTTCCCTTTTCTAAACAATCACTTTTCCCATCCCCTCTCTGCGTTTATCTTCTTCTTTCTCCCTCCATTATCATCTCTTACTATCTTCTCTCTTCTTTCTTTCGCTTTCAGCTAATTCTCTTCTCGTTTATTTCTTCTTTTGACATCTTCGTCCTTCGCCGTCTTAAATATTTTTATCATCGCCTTACTTTCCCCATCTCCATGCCATAGTTTTACTCTAGTCAACACATATGAAGTTATGAAGTACCCCTAGTCATGTCGATTAATTATCTTATTGGCGGGTCAAATCAACAAATCAACCGAAGTGCCAATTTCCATAAATCATACCGAGAGCTACGTAGCTTTATAACACAGATGCAACATCACTTCGAGTTATTATCTGCCATACTGGGTCCCAGGTGTCGAAATGTAGTCTGGTGAAAATACTGGGTAATATTCCAACAAGGAGTTGTTATCTAAATTACACTGAAATGGAAATTGTTTCATTCAAAAGGAGAGTTTAAATTCAAATTTTGTTTTATTCCTTAATATAAGAGAGAAATAAGGACAGAATGTTAAAATATCAATTAACTTTAGATGCCAAAGTCAAAGTTTTTATATTAATTAGTTTATTTCATTTTTTATCACTATTTCGATTCATCACATTCATATGTACAAGAACAAAATATCAGTTTCAAAGAAAAGACATTCTATCATACTCCACACAATTGATAATGTACATGTATCACACTATGTACACGTTCGAGGCAACCAATGTGGAGCCACCCATGCGGTTGGCGTCATCACAAATAGAGACTAATGAGAGTTTTCCAGACCACTGCTGGTAGGAATTTGATATGTTCATCCCATCGCATCACTTGGATCTCTGTCTTTTCCATTCCTACCCTTTATTTCGTGTACATACTATGCCTCTTTAACCACCTATACTCCTGTGACAGTGGCTGTAGCGAGGACGTAAAATCCCAAACAAAAATTATTTACTAAAACGTATTATCACAACGTCCCATTGTACTACCACATCGTCCCATTGTATTACCACATCGTCTCATTATATTACCACATCGTCCCATTATATCACCACATCGTCTCATTATATTACCACATCGTCCCATTATATCACCACATCGTCTCATTGTATTACCACATCGTCCTATTATATCACCACATCGTCTCATTGTATTACCACATCGTCCCATTCGATCACCACATCGTCCCATTGTACTACCATATCGTCCCATTATATTACCACGTCGTCCCATTATATCACCACATCGTCTCATTGTATTACCACATCGTCCCATTGTACTACCATGTTGTCCCATTGTATTACCACATCGTCCCATTATATCACCACATCGTCTCATTGTATTACCACGTCGTCTCATTGTATTGCCATGTCGTCCCATTGTATTACCACATCGTCCCATTGTATTATCACGTCGCCCCTTTGTATCACCACATCGTCTCATTGTATCACCACATCGTCCCATTGTATTACCACATCGTCCCATTGCACTACCATGTCGTCCCTATGTGACAATAGTAGAAATGGAATATTTAACAAATTCTGTAGACGATATTTCTACTCATCGAAAAAAATATCGTAGAGCAAAATGGATATCAACCTTTATCTGCGGAGCTTTTCTTCGATGGTATCTTTGTAATCAAAGTGCCTTGGATGACAAGCTGTGAGTTTGTACATAAATATGTTATGCATTTATGACAAAAAGACAAAACTTGATGTGCGGAATTATATCCGGTCTGTGATGGTTTTCGCGGGAATGAAGATTTCCTGACGAACTTCTCATCAAGTAACATATACATGAAAAGTGCAATTTCAAGCTCGCATCTTACATACTGCAGTCAAGAACATTGACTCATTTTCACAATATATGTTTTTTTCTTCTTCATACGCGACATATGTACTAAAATTAACTTTGACGATGTAAGTACCTCACGTGCACGCAAACACGCGCAGATGTAACATGTTATCGTGACACAGTGACTAAACCTATATTAAACAATAGGTCCTGTGACATCGGCAAGAATCAATTACATATTGTCTGGATCTCTGCTGATGTACTGATGAAATGTTCCATGAACGCTGACACTATCCCCTCTCCAACGAAAACAAAAATATACGATGAAATTTAACTAGCTTTTCAATACAATACAGGGTTATCCTCTCGTTTGTTCTTAGCCCTGCATCATATAAATATTTTCGGAAAGACATTGAAAACTTGAAAAACTAAGACCTCTTTCTGAAACTCGTGTTAGAACCACCGATCTTCCATTTAAAATGGTCCCTTCTACTTTTAATGCGTAACAGTGTATTTTTGTAACGATAAAACAAACGGACCTGGCTCAAGTTTTTACAACATTACCATCAGTAGCGTAACTTCCGTACTTGCTCAAGCACGCGAAAAAATATCCGACTGTGATCTAGTTTTCAAATATATTTGCTTCGCCAACTTTTCCGCACACACAATGGTAGTCTATGAGGTGGAATTTATACTACAATTATGACATTTTTTCGTCAGCTGCTCATGACCTTCTCCACAGCATTTCGGTGTCATAAAACTACATGTAAGTGTAACCTTTTGACCAAGAAAGTACTACAGGTGTATGACCTTGAAATAAGGCAAAGGTCAGGATCTGTGAAAACGTACACAATATAGATTACAATGGTACGTATATTGTATATCAAACACTATGACCTTGAATTCTATATTGCTACGCTGGTTTAATTGTAGGAAAAGTCTTTAAAACCATCGTCAGGACGTGGTTCAGTACACACTGTCCTGTATATCAATCTTAAATCGTTTTTTAATGAGGTGGGTCCTGTTCTGAATCGTAATCGTTCACACTGGTACGATAAAACAAATTATCTCCGACACTTTCTATCTCTCCCTCTAATATCATAGCTCTCTCATTCCTTCCAAACCCATAGCCTCTGGATACACTGATGCCGACTAATATTTTGTCCAAATCTCCAACCCTAAACATGTGATTCCATCCTGACCCCTGTGTCTACACTGACCCCTGCCCCTAACCTAATGTCCTCTGAACTTCATCCAATCCGAATCCCCAACCCGTTTATCCAGTAATTCCCGACCCTTCTCCTGACCAAACGCAAACCTCACTCGTTATTCCTCACCCCTGAACCCTAATCACGACCGTGACCGATATGACACACACCATTTGGTGAACATTGGCTGTTTCGTGTCATTGTAAACATCATTCTGAACCAGTTTGGTGGAGATGTAACCCATGACATACCACTGGATTTCTGGGAGAACAGATCTGATCCACGTACATAAAAAACTACGGACGAAATAGTTACAGAACTCGAGCACTATTGTAAAATTATAAAACAACATTTATGCGGTTAAGGATAATTGTTGACGGTAATACCAAATTAATGCGATATATATGCATGTTATACACGGGCCACTGATTGGGCAGATCTTGTATGATTCACCGACGGCCAACAATAATTGTTGTGTACATTTCATGTCCGAGTCCAATTTGCTTTCACCTGACTCATTGTACAACACACTGGCGACTAACAATAATTAATTAACCGCCATTCCTAACGTTGACAGCAAGGATTTACGTTTGGCGCCATTTTACATCATATCTTATCGCTTTCTTAAACAAATAAAATAAAATAAAATTTATGCACAATAACTTTTCATACATCACAAATGTTACAAAAAAATCAAAACGTTGATGTTTCAAATTCGCGTTCAATGCTATAATTATATCACGCTTTCCCATAAAATCACAGGTGTGTGTACTGTTGATTGATAAGATTATATGGTTTTAAACACATACCTGTACGACAGACATGTAATATGTTCACTACATGGCCACCTGCTAGCTATACAGAACAAACCAGATGTTCAACGTCAGAGAATAAATTAGTGAGCCAGGTATAGACTTGCTCAAGTTCTCAGGATGTCAATATCAAATTTCTTGCTATACACAAGAGATTATAAAATACTTTTTAATGGCAGAGAAAGTTTACAGGAAAACATGTTTAGGATGCAGAACGGGATTTGAAGAAATTTTATAAAGAATGCTAGGAATGTTGAAAATGTCGCCAATGCAAAATGTCACCGACTTCCTTGAGGTACAGGTGAAAAGTGCAGGTGTATTGATGTACGACTACATACACCTACACTTTGTAAATGAGTAACACCTATATTCACGATACAAATATACATGTAGCTCGATACTGTCCGGATCTGTTTAAATCTTTCCGGCGAGGGACTTTCTCTTGTCAATTATGCTCAACTCTTTCTGAAATAATTCCCCAAATTATTAACTAAACTGTTGCCGTGCTCGCCATCTACCCTAATTCAATCATTGGTTCACGTCACGTGAAATTCAAATTTGAATCAATTACAACGATGACGTAACTTTCCCTGTGTATAGGGATGTTATTCATTGTTCAAATTTAAGGAGTTTGGAAAACACACCAAACCGTTCAGTAATGGTGATGAGTCAGATCTTCTGTCAAAAAAATTGAGAAAACCTTCAAATTATTTCACGCAACGAACATGTGCTAAGTTCATCAAAAATCACACAGGCTGATTACAATGTATAAGTTACATAATCAAACCTTTCGGTAGTAATGCTGAGGAAAGCGAGCTATCAAACGACATTTAAATCCTACACATATACATCAATAATGACTCACTTGGCGGTCGATTCAAACTCGATAAAGAGTGAGTGAGGTTTTCTGTTTACTTACCTTGTTTGTTTGTCAGCCGTCCAGTTTGTTAACAACACAGTAACACTTCTGTCTATCACATGCCACAAGGAATTCAGTTTCTCCCTTATTTTGACACAGTTATGATGTTTTCACTGACAACCATCAATTCAAACACACGTATTAATGTCGATCGCTGAACAGATGTGCGTACACACACATTTAAATAGGATGACCTCTCGTGACCCCAGCAACCGCCTCAGCCTTAGCTCGTATTTCTACTTCCGTTTTGGCACCCATCCCTAAATTGACGTTACAAGACGAAAGTATTGCTATATCATTAACAGTATTGAGTTAATAACAGGTAGTAACATGACTTTATCATGTAATCTCATTATTTTATTTATAAACTCGATTGATAACGAGTTACGCTTGACCTGGTGTCCATGGCAACAGGGAACGCTCCTTGCCAACGAACGGTGGGTTTGGTTACGGTCGGTTTGATATCTCTCGAGAGGAAAGGTATAAAAATGTCTCGATTTTGAAAAATTGCTGCCATCTATCTAAAGACTGGTATGTACTGGTGTTTAGAAGGTGAAGCTATTTCTCAGTACAAATAAAATATGTGCGACTCTGTAAAATTTATCCCGGATATCGCTGAATTACTAAGATCTTATGTGGACAATTGGTGTAAATATTACCCTGCTAAATGCAAAAATTGATTATTAAAAAGGGCGGGACGAGTTTTACCAAAATTTAAACTTCTACCACCACATAAATTGGCGAATACTTCACGAAGCTGGCTTATTACACTTAATGTATATAACTTATTTTTAATGGTCTGATATACTAGGTGTATGTACGACACGGAGATCAATTAAAACTTCGTAAAATTAGAATCCATAATGAAATAAATTGCATTCTTAATATCTTGGTTTTAAAACACTATATTACATTTTTTAAATATCCTCCAAAAATCAGGCTGATTTATTTTTGTCAGCAACTGACCAATAGCATACTCGCATGCACCTAACTCTGACTTACCTGTATGAATCTGGAGTGTACATGTACCTGTATAAATCTGGAGTGTACATGTACCTGTATTAATCTGGAGGGTACATGCACCAGTATAAATCTGGAGTGTACATGTACCTGTATAAATCTGGAGGGTACATGTACCTGTTTAAATCTGGAGGAGACATGTACCTGTATAAATCTGGAGGGTACATGTACCTGTTTAAATCTGGAGGGTACAAGTACCTATATAAATCTGGAGTGTACATGTACCTGTATAAATCTGGAGTGTACATGTACCTGTATTAATCTGGAGGGTACATGCACCAGTATAAATCTGGAGTGTACATGTACCTGTATTAATCTGGAGGGTACATGTACCTGTATAAATCTGGAGGAGACATGTACCTGTATAAATCTGGAGGGTACATGTACCTGTATAAATCTGGAGGGTACAAGTACCTATATAAAACTGGAGTGTACATATACCTGTATAAATCTGGAGGAGACATGTACCTGTATAAATCATGGGTGTACATGTACCTGTATAAATCTGGAGGGTACATGTACCTGTATAAATCTGGAGGAGACATGTACCAGTATAAATCTGGAGTGTACATGTACCTGTATAAATCTGGAGGGTACATGTACCTGTATACATCTGGAGTGCACATGTACCTGTATAAATCTGGAGGGTACATGTACCTGTATAAATCTGGAGGGTACAAGTACCTATATAAAACTGGAGTGCACATGTACCTGTATAAATCTGGAGGGTAC